TAATAAATTAATTATTATTATTATATATATATATATATATATATATATATATATATATATATATACATATTAAGAAATTGGATATTTTTGTAACTTATTCTTATAATATATGTACATAAATTTATTATTTATAAAAAATAAATTTACTTTAAAAAATATAAAAATTATAAAAATAACAAAAAATTGCATTCTATTAAAGTAAATATTAATAATATAAAATATAAATTATATTATAGTAAATATTACTATATTTTTTATATCAAAAGTAATAATAATAGAAATCTTATTCTTCACTAAATATGTTAGTGCAAATGAAATTTTGTATTATTTATACTTTTGTGAAATGAAAAAATCAATAATAATAATTAAAAATAAAAATATAATACTTACACTGCGCATTCCATTATGTGACAATCCTTCTATTTCTTCATCTACTCCAACTCTAAAAAAAATGATTTGTTTCAATAAAATAAAAAAGCTTATGATTATAGTAACAGAAATCTTTTATACTTACGGTATATTAAACCAGCTCAAAAATTGGGTTGTTGCACCACCTTGAAAAATAACTGTTAGAATTACAATTAAACTCGTTGTTGTTAACATTGCTTGTCGAGCATCAGATACAGTATTTCTAATCGCTAGAGCGAAACTCATAGCTCCGCGTAAACCAGCAAAAAATAACATATGTTGATAATTTAACGATATTTTTGGTTTTCGTGCCAAATTTAATATAAAAGATAATGGATATACATTAGCTGCGCGACCTAATAATGCACATAACTATAATAAAGTAATTAAGGATCATAAAGAGTATTTATATATTATGAAATATTAACTTAAAATTAATATTTACAAAATAAGGATACGAATCCTGCAAAAATAAATCCTGGATCAAAATGATGTTTTGGGAAAGTGAACATTGAAACACCAATATAACTAAATATAAAGTTTTCTGCTAAAAAATTTAAAAGTTCAAATAATTGTTTTGTCCGTTGACGCGAATCTGGACTTAAATTATTATATGTATAATGTGCTTGACAAATACCACAAAATAAGACTGCAACTACACCTGTATACAAATAATTACATATAAAAATTTAGTACTAAAAATGATAAGTTTAATGCACATAAAATTATAAAACATTACCTGTAAGATCAGATGCTTCAGCAATTAAGAAAGTACTATAAGACATTAAAACAAATAATGCTGATTCCAAAAGAGGAAAATCTCGGACTCTAGTAAATTTAGTTAACAAAGCAGTAATACAACCCATAGTAGCACCAATAAATAAAGATAAACTAAATATTCCAACAAAATCACCAAATGCTTGGAAAAATGCTACAGTTTCAAATCCACCTGAACCTGATTGGTAACGTTCTCCATAATTTTGTATGGAACTGAAATATATATATATAAATAATATATATAAATATATAATTTATATGTATATTTGATCAAAACTTTTTGCAGATATTTTTAATATTCTTATATACATACCCACTAAGTACAATTGCAACTGCATCATTTAATACACTTTCTCCAAATACTAAAGCATATAAATTTACATCTACATGTAAATCATTAAAAATCGAAATTATTGTCAATGGATCTGTGGGAGATATTAATGCACCAAAATATAAAGTATCCAAAAATGTAAATGAAGCAGAGAGATGTGGTATTAATTGTACAAAAGCATACATCAAAGCTCTGAAAAAAAAAAAGAATAATATATACATAAGAAATGTATGATTAAAAAAATATAACATTATATTAAAAAGAAATTTTTTCTTTATCTATAGTTAATGAACAAAACAACAGATATATTCAATCTAAATGACCTATGAACGTAAAATTAATCATAAGAAATGTTTCATATAAAAACTTCAAAAGATGTAAATAAACTTGTTATTATGACAAGAAAATATATATCTATTTATTAATTATATATATATTTCTCATTATAATGAAAAACATACCCAATAACAAAAGCTGATATAGATGTCCCAATTAAAGCATACATAAGAATTGCTCCTAAATTTCTAAAGAAATATTTCTGAAATAAAATATAAAATTAATAATATTAAATAATAATGATAAATATAAATATAAATAATTAAAATTTGCTACTTACACGTTTCAAACTATACCCAGCATGAAAAATGATTGGTGGCAAAATAATGTTAAAAAATATTTCAGAATCAAAGGTGGCCTATTAAATTATAATTATAATATTAATTATTTTTTTCTAGTATTCAATTTAATTATAATTTAATGAAATACATAATTTATATAATAATATAATATATAATAAATACAATATTTAATTCTTTAATAGTTCTAATATATTATTAAAAAATAGATTATAAATAATTGAATTAAATAATACCTTCAAATCTATTTCATTATCTTGTTTATAAATCTCTCCTCTGAATAAATAGGCAAATGTCTTATTTTTAATAATATTACCACCTCCTTTATCTTCTGGAAAACGTAACCATAATGTATCAGGAGGAACTGATTGGTTATATTTACTGCTGTTGTCTGGTACAACAGGCATATGAAGAATAGTACTACTTGTTGTAAATCCATAACGTATTATTGCTCCTATAATTAATCCTAAAAAGATATATATATGACATAACAAATACACATGTATATATAATAATAAATTCATAATAAATTAATATTATTTTAAAATATTTAATATATATAACTTTCATGAAATTATTATAATTAAAACTTAATTATTAATAATTGGTAATCAATATTTCAAATAATAAAAAATTATTCTTTTTTTAAACTACTAAATCTTTATTTTTTATATAAAAAAAGTTATTTACACATAAAAAGATTATATATCAATTTTATAATGTAAAAATATCTTTGTTAATAAAAAAAAATCAAATAAATATTAATATAGAAAATTGATAATAAATATTTAATAATTATTACTTATCATTTATTCTTTTTAATAATTTTTAATAATCAATTTAGAATTATATGCAATGAATTTAATTATAATTAAGTAAATATATATTTCTGATATATAAGTATAAATAAGTCAATTTATTGAAAATATTTTTATGTAATATGTATAACAAAAATATTTAATATTATTTGTAACTATATATTATATATATATTTATAGAAGAATATAAATCTAAAATAAAAAAGTATATACTATACATAATAAAAAAATGCATAAAAAAATGTTAAATAAATTTAAATAAAAATTAAAATTAAAATTTACATAATTTGTATTATAATTACGATTGTAAACAGTAGCAGTATAGCAGACGACTTACCATAAATGACAGCTAGACCAGTTTCATGGAGGAACCTAAGGCGACGATGTTTAAATGTCCATATTGTTAAAACAGTTAATATCAATAAAAATGTGTATAATAAAAGATTTAAACTATCAAGTCTATGCAATAGCTGTGCTTTTGCATCTAATTCAATATCTGTCGCGGCTCCATTACACGATTTTAATAAGAAAATACACAAAATAACGAAGAGGATAATTTGTGCATCACCCCTTACTGCCATCTTTACTTTACAACCATTTCTTAATCAGACTGTCAATTTAACAGTATAGCCAACTGTATTGATATAAAGTTTATTTAACAACTATATAATAAAATCTACTTATAAATCATAGTAGAATATTATAGAATTTGGTAACACTGTCAAATTTATTCGAAGCGGGAATTCTATTTCAATATTAAAATAAATGAGAAATCTAATAACATTTTAACAATATAACATTTTTCTAAAATTATAAATATATATAATCATATTATCTATAGAAATATAAAAAATAAATACTGATTACGTATACTGCATTGAATAATAAAAAAATTATTTTATATCTTGTATGTTCAATTCGCCATGACAACATACATATTTAAAAATAAACATTGATAACATAAAATTGAAAAACAATATAAATCTCACGCTATTTTTAGTAATTTGATTAATTACATCGAGGTGAGAATTCTGATATTGTTAGTCCGAATTTATTTTCATCATGGCCTCAGGTAGGCTATATATAAAGCTTTCAAGAATATAAATCAATGTTTTCATAAAATATTTCATAATATTTAAAATAAATTTACTGATATATGAAGACATTATTTTTTTAATAATTTTCTAACAAGTAACATTATATTAAATAGATATGAGATATATATGTGTGTATATATATGTATAATAATATACTTAATAATTATTTCATAAATTAAAATTCATTACAAATCTAATAATCTACATGTTTTATATTGCTAAATATTATCACATTTGATATTATCAAATATCTTGACATAATTTAAATATATTTAATATATTATATTTAAATATATTAAAATACATTTATTGTTAATATAAAAAATCTAAGAAATGACATAAATATGTATGTAAAGTTTATATACATAATATTAAATTAAATAAAGATAGAATTAATAAATTAAAATACATGTTAATTTATTAAATAGTCATTAAAATTGTGATAATTTATAAATGAAATAATAATGGCATTATCTATATGTGGGGTATTATCAAAGTATGTCGAAGAGTAGTAACAAGATACCCAATAATTGTTCAAGCAACACAAGCAGGTAAAAACTATCCTGCATTTCTAAAATATTAAAAATTATTTTATCATTGAACATATTAATTATTCATGGTATCAAATTAACAGGTATATTAATGGCATTGGGAGATCAAATTGCACAAAATTTTATTGAACGAAAAAAATTTAAGGAATTAGATTTTCTAAGAACAGCTCAATTTGGAAGTATAGGATTTTTTATTACTGTAAGTCAATTTGATTCAAAAATGCTTAAAAGCACTTAACATTTAATTATAATATTTATAATATTAATTTATTAATATATTTAATTAATAGTATACTTATTTATTAAAATTTAATAATAATTAAATAATTTAATAATTAAATATGATTAAATTCTTTATAGCGTAATTAAATAAATAATAAAGTAATTAATTAATTATATAAATTATATAAAAAATAATAAATTATGTAACATTTTATAAAATAAATTTCATTTAATGGATATGACAGGGACCTGTAACAAGAACCTGGTATGGAATATTAGATAAATATATTGGCTCAAAGACTGGACTTGCAGTATTAAAGAAAGTAGCTTGTGATCAATTAATTTTTGCACCTGCAGGTTTAGGAATTGTGCTAACAACTGTTGGTCTTTTACAAGGAAAAGATTTTGAACAAATAAAAACGAAATTATCTAATGAATATCTAGATATTTTACTCAATAATTATAAAGTAATATAATAATTTTACAATAAATTCTAAAATTATATATAAAATGTTAATATATTAATGTGACATTTTTTGAAGAGTCAATTTTAAAGGTCAGAACAAATAAAAAATTAATATATAAAAATATCAATTCAGATTTAATAAATAAATTAATAACTTATAAGCAATTTATATTTACATTTAAATGAAATGAAACAAAGATAGAGAGAAATAGCTTTTTTTATTAGTCTGCTGTTTCATTCTGTTTCTGTCTCGCTTCACTTAATGCAAACTTAAATGCTTGTAATTTAACATTTTAATTATATCAATATTGCATCAATGTAATATTTATTTTGAAAATATTAATCAATTCAATATTACTTCAATTTTAGATTAATATTTAAAATTTTTATAAAAATTAATTGAATATAATTTTTTTTATTATGTTTTCTAAAAATAATATATTTTCAGTAAAGATTAATAATAAGATTTTTAACAATTTTTATATTACTTATAAAATAGATTTATATTAGGCAACTTTTAAGTCAAATTGCTCAATTCCAGTTATTTATTTTATCCAATTAAAATTAATTTATATGAAAGATGTTCCACGAATATATTAACACCCTGTACATTTAATAAATTCTGTAAAAAATGTATGATTCTTTTTTTTTTCAGATTTGGCCTATAATACAACTAATTAACTTTTATTTTATACCTTTACAATATCAAGTTCTATTAGTACAATCAGTAGCTATCTTATGGAATACTTATGTATCATATAAGACATTCACTTTAGGAGAACAACAAAAAAAACAAATAGATATATATATAAAATAAGTAAAAATTTATAAACATATATTTTTTTTTTAAATACAGATGTTAACACTATTAAATTTAAATATTGTTCACAATAACATAATAAAAAGTTAAACTTTTGAATAACATTTATAATATTTATCATTAAAAATAAACAATATAGTATTTTATCATAAAACAACGATAGCATTGTAAATAATCACAAAAGCATTTTGTTATAAGTTATTAAAAAAATGTGTTCATAATTACAATGAAGTATTTGATCTCAAAATAACTATATATATATA